TCATAGGGCCCCATTGCCATTCTGCTTCAACGGCCCTTCTGCTTCGATAGATGGTTCTGCTTCGGGGCGGGGTTTGTTTCAGCTTGTCTTACGAAGAGGCACTCTTTTTTTCAGTGAAAGCGCATCGCAATGCTCGAAACACGCATGCTGCAAAGTCTGGGATCTTTCAAAGCCTGGAATCTTTGTGCGGGCATATTTGGTCGGATTAGTTCTAGTGTTCTGAAGTCTCTGCAGCGACGTGCTGAACCCCCGCACAGCTAGGCCACTCTCCGTCTCTTCGCGGAGTTTAAAGCATCATCGGCCTCCTTGCCCCAACACCAGCATATGTAAAATGCCTGAGCTTGGCTCCTTTCTTTCGGTGGCATCTGTGCCCCCTTCTTGATGCGTTCATTGATCTCGCGGCTTTGAATGTCGGGGTTGTAGCTGGCAGCGCAAGATCCCCTGAAGGCTCTATGGTCGATTGCTAGCACGGGTTTTGGGGTCTCAAAACATCCGGCCACAAGAAAACCTCGCTTCCGAAGTGATGCCGAGAATCTTCCCACCGTGGGTGCCGCTGATCAACCTTGCTTGGAAATGTGGCAGCGTCTTGTCTTTGGTGACTTGGTGTGTCATTGTAACGTGCTCCAATGCAGCAAACCTTTCCTTCAAGAACTCGGGGATCGTGCTTGTGGTCACGAGAAGGCGGCGGCTCTTCTCTTCCCTGGCCGCAGCTTCCCCAGCTCTCGGATCCTCGCTGCCCGTCGCTGCTGATGCCTGCGTGGTGTCATTGTGCTGTCGCCTACCATCGTGTGACATGGCCCTAGGAAAATCACCAAAGCCAAATGATGCGTAACTGCTTGCAGTACGGATTGTACCAAGTTTTCTACCAGAAGCAACTTAAGACATGTTAGGTTTCTTCTGTCCTCGACCGGCATCTCGGCCCCAGATGTCTGCTCATCATCTCGCTGCCTTTCTTCCTGCCAAGCAATGAATGAAAGCGACAAGGGAATGGAGAATGGAAATGAGCACACTTCGAAGTGCCCTGGATCCACGACCCAAAGCAAGCTGATGCATAATCTAGACTTGACTGCATTGCCCACTTCAATATCTGAAAGGAGAGGACGACAAACTTAATTTCCCTGTTCTTTGCTGGCATCTGAGCCTGCTCGAGCTTCTCGAGCAAATCCTCAGCAGCCGCCCATGCCGGATCCTTCTCGATCAGCAGGTCTTGCACCTCAAGAATGAGGCGGAGTAGCCGCCCCTAGATGGCTGCGTTGAGTAGATTCGTACCTACTCGTGGTTCTTTCTTACTTGGATATTTGTTACGAAATGAGAGGCCTCCTCCAGCTCATCTTCATCTGAGTCCTCCTTGCCATCATCCTCTTGCTGAGACTTGGAGCCAGATCTTTTGCGTCTCTTCAGGTCCAAATCTTCGCAGGTCTGCAAGACCGTCTGCACACAGGCCTGGCTCACATGCTGCTGAACGATGCCAAGTTTGCAAATTGCCCTGATCTTCTGGGTCTTCGTTGAGCTCTTGCGAACAGTGGCTCCGTAGGCCTCCAGAGCCTGGCTCAAGCACTCTGAAGTCAGCTTGATCACCTCGCCGGTTTCCACAAGCCGCACGATCAAAGGCACGGACTGCATGGCTCTGCGAAGGAGCACGTTGCAGTCCAGTTCTTCGGTCCAAGAGCCGACTGCCACGTGAAGCGAGTACTTGAAGCACCGAACCTTGGAGCATGGAGCCAGCACTCTTCTAAACAGAAGTGCTGGTTTCGAGTCAAGTCAAGTATAACTATACTCCTGCACTGCAGCCTCCGCGAGCTTCAGGAGGAGCGTCTCGACTGGTTTGGTCCTGAGCAACTCAGGCTCGGACAGCTGAAACATGTTCAAATTAAACTA